GCAGTGGTGGCTTGAACGTCTTAAACAAAAATGCTGTTGTCGATATGATCACATATGTGGTTGCAGAGGATGACGAAGATGAAGATGGTGAAGGAGAGGGAAGAAATGATGATGATGCGAAAGTTGATGACGACGACGACGATGATGATGATGACAAGAAAAGGTTAGATCGTTTGGCCTGTATGTTTATTTACGGATTAAAAGCCAATTTTTTTTCATGTAATGTTTGGGGAAATTTGGTATTCTCTTTGCGGTAATAATTTTCATCAAAATCGAATTTCTTTATTTTTTTGGGGTTGAAAATGTTTAAAGGATATCCGGAGTGTTCGTATCCAAAGGAGAGTCGTGGTCATACACTAATCCCATGATGGTCAGCGATGAGGTTTGCCTGGTGATGATGGTGGTGATGATGGTGGTGGGGAGGACGGTGATGATGGTGATACAGATGATGATGATGATGATGATGGCGGTGTTGTTCTTCAAATTATTTTAATTTGGTATTAGAATTTTAATCTGAATAATTTGTGAAAGGAATGGTGAAAGTTGCGTGCACTGCTGTTAAAATTAAAAAAATTTTCATTCGTATTTCAACATCGTCGACCTCTTAACACCACAAATATACCACCACAAACCACTACTGTTGCCCTACAAACCCCACAAACCGCCACTGCAGTCCCACAAAGCACCACAAACCGCCACTGCAGCTCCACAAACCCCCACTAACCACCTTTGCAGCCCCATAAGCCTAGACGCGCCACAGTGAAGGAGAAGCCGTCGTCAGGGGAAGACCACGGCCACCACCAACCACAACACGGGGTACTCTCCGCCAAGAAGAAACGAGAAAACATGAAATCAAAAACTGCTCAGTCCCTGGACAGTGCGAACATCTTGTTCGACTCAGACACCCATCGACTCTCTACCATCATAGCTGGCGATGACGTCATCATCACCGCTAACAAATACGCAGATGACGACCGCCACGAACGTTCATCTGTCGCTCGAGCCTCTGCTGACGCCAAAAAAGATAATTTACACTCTGATCCCATGCGCAGTTCAGCCGAAGTTGACGACAACTTCCAATCTATCCTACGAGAGAGCGCGAGTAGTAAAGAAAGTAGCAGCGGTGGTGGTGATGGTGGTGT